ATAAAAAATTGAGATCCATTTATTACATAATCATTTCCATCCTAAATTATTAATTATATTATACTTTTTTTTCTTCATATTCTTACTATCATTACCACTATTTGGTTCTGTTAAGCAATATGATGCAAATGCATCAAATTTTCCAAATCTAGGTATCCATGTTTATTTTTATTCTTCATTACCAAATTAATCCACCATATAAGCACACATATTTTAAATTGTTAAATAGGCTGTTGTTGTTACATCTCCATATAATAGAGCTTCAAATATTACACTTGCTGTTAAACGATCTAAACCAACACCACCTAACCATCATTTATTACTTTACCTGATTCCTATTTTACATATATTGTTGAAAATCCCATTGCTGCCAATTCACGTCAAACATTCTTTGGAAAATGATGTTTCTTATCCCATTCTGCTGAATATGGTTACATCTTCTCTTTTGCAAAGATTAATGCTGCCTTCTATATCTATAGATGATGTTCATTCAGAAATTTACTGTCATTCAAGTTTTTAAAACCGAATCTTGGAATCTGATTCACAATCAACCTTTTACGTATTATTTAAATTTTAATATATATACTAAATAATTTAATTATACCATTTTCAATGCATAATTCCGCATTTCTCTTCACTATTATGGAACATAAACTTCATAAATTCTATCAAGGAAATGCTCGTGTCTTAGAATCCATTCAATACTTTCAATTATACTGAACAAATTATTCAATTTTACTATAAAAAATATCAAAACCATCATTGTCGTTGGATAACATAATTACAAACTATTCACACATTTTATAACCTATTATGTATTTTCTATTTTCTTATTCAGAAAGTTGATGAAAATTTAACAGATATTATTCAAACCTTTGATAGAATTACAACTATCATTTCCAAAGAAAATAATCATTTTTCTGTTTTAGTATGTTGTGCATATGGACTCAATTGGAGTGCAGCTATTATTATTGCCTACTTTATTAAATTTAAATAATGGCAATATGAAAAAGCTTTCTATCATCTAAAATCACTTAAGAATCTTGTGAATCCTTCTTTACCTCTCGAAAAATAACTCATATTATTCAATACTAAGATTCATAATCAAAAATAAGATAATCAAGAAAACAATCTTAATTATCATAATCTAATACCCCCCTCTAAATTCTAATAACGAATCATTGAATAGACTCTTAAATAACAATATCTAGAAGATTCTATTCATTCTGAAGATGAAATCTTATCACCTGGCTCTTGTCGAGGAGGATAAACACCTATTTTTTTTTCTTAAACAAATAGGGTATTATCCAAAGACAAAAGCATACCCCACATCATAAAAGCCCTCTAAAAAGGACTGGCAGGCACATCAGGAATTACACTTTCTAAATTGATGATGCTATCACAAAGCAACTTTAAAACAATGATAACAAAGTACAAAGTTCTCCTTAATTCAAAAATGAACATGAATAATTAAATCTTACTCAAAGAAAAAGTAGAATCATTCATAGAACTAAAAGTGCAATGAACTAAAAATGATTATAATTATATTTTTTAATTGCCTAAATGGAAATCATAAAATTACAATATTTGGGATTCACATATATCTACAGAGATTAATTAGAATACAACCTAAAGAAAGCATTTATACAATAATACATAACTAAAGATTCCTATTAAGTTAAATGGATTGACTCCGATGAAGTTTATAATTTAAATAACCATAATTCAATAATATTTTTAAGAGAAAACATACAAGAATAAAATATCAAAAAAAGTCATTTTATAATTTTAATTCAAATGATATTGATTGTTATTATTATTTTTAATGAAAATAAAATTAATATTTGGAGATTATGTTTATCTTTATCATGATGTTTAAGATCTGTATTGTATAGATAAGTACATTAAAGAAAGGATTACCAAATTACAGTACAAAATTAAATGGAAAGATGAGGATAATGAGATGATAACAGTATTTAGACCACAAGATCTTAAATATTGTGTTGATGCCACAGAAAAACTAAATTAAACATTACGTCTTTATATTTAAGAATTTCTACCTAACTTTCCGTAACTTAATCAAAAGCAATAATTTTAAGAATCAATGCTCTAATCTAATTGTCAATAAGTGCAGGCTAGTAATTTGATAGAAATAGAAAATCTCAAACTTACAAAATAAGTGACTTTTGCTTAATAATAATAAAGCCAAGAATATCCAGTTAGAGAAGAAAAACAGTTTTTTTAGAACACTGTAAGAGATGCAATTTAATAAGTATATCCAGGTTTAGAGATAGAGTTAGAGGATTTAAATGATATGGTTAAATCTTCATAAATACAAGAGAGTTAGTCAATATCATTTGGGTAGTAAATATAAAGATAGGAGTCTAGATCAAATACATAAAAAATGACACCTTCTTTTAATGAATAACTGATAAAGGATAATATCAATGATGATGATAACAAATAAAATGAAGCTTTGAAATAAAGTTTGCTTAAATTAATAATAATATAGGTGATCCACATGTATAAAATGAAAATAACGAGGAACCTTTTTATTGTGACCACTGCTCTGAGTTGATCTAAAATTAAGTATACTTCTAATGCAAATGTTCAGAATGCTCGGATATGCACTTTTGCGAAAATTGTTTTAATGATGCGTAAGCCGACATTCAAGGTTACTTAGGAAAGAATCATGAAATAGTGAGATGAATATTAATAAGTTATTATTTTGGCAAACTAATAAAATTTAATTCAAAAATTATACTTTATTAATTTAGGATAAATGTTTAAACTTTCTTCTTAGGATCATTGTAAATTCCTTTTTCATACTGTCAATTAAATCTTATTTTTCTTCATTTAGTTGAATTTAATACCTATATAAAAATAATATTAATTTAAATTAATGAACTTATTTTGATATTTAATATCTATAAAATATCTATTTAGCCTTTAAAATAAATCAATTGAATATAGATATATATTTTATTATAATCATTCAAAAGCTACTTCATCACGAATTCTGTTTTTGCATTAAAGAAACATTGTTATGAATGAATTGACAGGTCTAAGATTAAAGATATTTCTAAGATTAGTTCCATATTCATAAATTATCTTTAAAAAGCATACAATTTAAATTGGATAAAAAATAAATTCAATCCAAAATACTTTAGATTCTTTCATTTCTATATAATTAAATATATCAGGCTAATTTCCTGTTTGAATGCAGTATTATAATTAAAGTTTTGGAAATCTTCAAATGATTTCGAAAATTGAATTTCTTAATAAATATATAAGATTTCTAAGACATTGATTAACAACATAATAATTTTTTCGAAATTTTGAATAATTTTTGAAAATCTACACTTAAAATCTGAAATGTCTAAAGAATACTCAATAATAAAAGTTATGAGTAGTAGCAGATTTAAGATAAAAATGTAATTCATAATATCTTAATATTCTTGATTCATTTTTAATGTTGATTTATTTAGAATTTTTTCATAAAAAGCTGAGTTTTTATATTCAGGATTAATTTATATATAACTTTTTGTCTATAAAGTCCAATTCTATATTTAGAGACTGGAAAAAAGGTAAGTTGTGTTTTAAATTTCTTAAGTTATTTGCTAAATATAATTATTCTTCTGATATATTAAATTCATTTTTAAAAGCAGTATCTGTTTTTTCACAATTTTATCTTCTAACTTTCATTAAATAAAATTCATTTCTAACTTTCTATATATTGTTTAAAGAATTTAATAAACATACTTTGTCAGATTCTGTCAATTAGACTTAAGATATTGGCAATCTATCTGATGAATTAATTATAGAATAAAAGTAAAATTCTTGATTTACTTTTATAATACTATAACTACTATTATTTTTTTGAATCCGAAAAATATCATGATCATCTAAATTTTAAAGAAATCCAATCTTAGTTATTGGGCATGTAACATTAAAAGGCAAACTAAATTAATATTAATCTTTTCCACATATCGTTTTATTTTCTTAAATTTTCTAATTTCTTTTGGACCATACAGCTAAATTTAAATTTAATTTGCTATTTCATTGAGAAAATCTATATTATCATTTAATTAGCTTAATATTCTAGAATTAAAGTTTTGTATTGATTTACAATTATTTTCAACTTCAATTTATTTACACATTCTCTCAATGAAAAAAAACTTTTCAAAAAATGTATTTTCATCCATTTGATTAATTTCATGAATTGTTAAATTTTTTGTACAATCACAACCATAAACTGTTCCTGGCCAGAAATATTTGAATAATGGAGAATACTATTTATTATTAATCATAATATTACTTAATATCCGAATGCTTTTTAACAATTACCGTCATAGGTAATATTAATATCTTCTATTATACCTTAATTTTGATTCTAAATAAATTAATTATAGTAGTCTTCATTAGGAATTTTTCTGTTTTAATTCCATAACCACAAATAAGTAAAATTATAATTACATTCAGAAAGTATAAAAATTATAAATACTTACATTTATTTACTGCATTTTTGGATAAATTTTTAGAAATGAATTTCAGCTATTCTTTTATAATGGATCGATAATTTATTTCAATAAATTTGATTTTCTCTCTCCTCTCTTATTCTAAAATATGTGTAACAATGTTTATTAGATTCTTCTTTTCAATTTCCTATAACATTTATTGTATTTAATCAAATTAAGTTTTGGAAATAGATATTTATAAATATAATTTATAATCTTTTTTATTATTCTATTTTGCCCTAATGTTTTAGAGACAATATGAGCAATAGCGTATTTTTAAATTAAATAAAAATATTGACATTCTTGATTATAATTTTTAAATATATTATTTACTTAATTTAATTAATCGAAACTTTTGGTTGAAAAAATAAGAAGAAAATGATCAGAATTTGAAACTAGAGAATATATATATACTAATTAAGTTTTTAAAGATGAGAATGTTTTAAATTCTTTTGAGAAATAACATAAGTTAAAACAAAAGTATCTCAATCAATTAATAATTTTTAAAAGTAGATGGATTGGTTTGATAAAACAAATTAAATTTATTTTATTAGAAATAAATAGATCAATTAATTTCATGTTTGGTCTTATTCCTCATTTAATTAATCTTCTGAGGCTTAAGAAATTTACTCTGAAGTTAAATTTTTTTCATTTTCATTAATTTTAAGATTCTCTTTATAAAATGGCTTTCTAAATTTTCCTCCTAAAATTAAAATACATAGACCACCCAAACCAATACCACCTCAAATTAACCATTTATTACATGATGAATCATCATCTTCACTTTCAGCATTATTATTAGGATTAACTATTTCATAAGGTTATTAAATTTCATTTTATTGTGGTGATTCCATTAAATCGGATTCATTTTTAATATCTTTAATTTAATTTTATTCTGTTTCATTAATTTTTTGTATTTATTAATTAGGAATTTACATTGCCATGGTATGATTTTCTTTATGATTATTTTTTTATTCAATAGGAGTTGAAGTAATCGTTTGTTACCGTTTCTTATTATTATTATCTGACAAATTAATATCATTATCTTCTTAATCATTATTTTCATCTACATCAGTTTATTCTTAAATTGAATTATTATCTTCAATCTTTTCATTATTTTATTGGTTTTAATTTTCATCATTGTTGTTATGCTCAAGAAAAATATATGAAAAATATTTTTCTTGTGCATTTTAAGTACACAAATTGATTCCATAATTTGTCCAAGGTGATATAATTTATTATTCTAAATATACCAAGTACTTATTCAGTTAATTAATCTGTAATTTCAGTTATAATATTTTAAATAAATTTAATTATTTGCTTCTGATTATGGTGTTAAAATTTTAGATAAAGTTTCTATATATTTTTTTGTTTCATTTTTTTACAAATTTGGTATTTTTTTACATTATTGTAAAAGTATACTTTAAAATTTATAGTCATTTATAGCCATTTTTTTCAATTCTTATTTAAATTGCTAATGTAGATTGGATATTAATTAATTTTAATTGAAAATTGATTTACCAGCTTTAAGAGCTCTACATATATATGTGATAATTGAGTTTTAGGATTGTAAATTATCATTAAGAATTGTTGATTTGGGTAAAATACTGGCAATAAATGAAGTCAAACAATTAATAAACAATTTTTTGTTAATATTTCATGAATTTTTGGTTAATTTTAATTAATTAGCTATTTATTTAGTATTTAAGCTAGCACACACAATTTTTTAATTAATTTTAAAGTATCTTATTAATAGAAATTTTGTTAAACAATATCAAAGAGAAGACTTTAAATAAAAGGCTCCACCATTCTAAGTAAATTAGAAACAATTTTAGTAGCCAAAAGGTTACCACCTTTAAGTATTAAAGAATAAATAAGTTCCGAGATAGTATATCTCCATGTCTAATGAAAAATATGGTTTATTTAAACTAATTTGACACCTTTTTCACTAATTTAACTTTAAAAAAAATTCTACCAAATTAAACTTCTTTGAATCCCCCAAATCCTAAAGTCATGATAGTAAGTATTATACTAAATGCCTTTTATTAACAGTAATCTGACCATAATAATTCTCTTTTATAACAAGCTTAGATTAGACGAATAAAATCAGATACACCTTCTGATAATATTATACATCCAATAAAACTACCTAAACCAGTTGCTACTAAAAGACCTCCAACTATGCATTAAGATAGTACTAAAGTTCCAAGTATTAAAATATTATAAAAAGGAAAACTTTTATTTTCTATTAAAACAATTACATTTTTAAATCCTCTCGCTTCCAATTCTTATAGCTCTAATTATGCAGTCGAATTGTAAATTTTAAAAAACTCTTTAAACTTTTATTTTTTGATTATTTTAATATCTTATTGTTTGAGTTCTGCTAAATTAATATATTTCTAAATTGTTTCAGCATTTAAATGTTTTAATATTAATTAAAACCTTTATTAATTATGTTTAAAATTATTTTATTCTAAATCTTGCATTAATAATATTATTATGATCAATTATATTTAAATCTTCTAAAGTCTCAATAGAGTTTAATTATAATTTGAATTTTGCTTGATCTCTACAGTTTTCCAATACTTCTTTAATATTGTTTTTGGGAATTAATGGAATTTAAATAATTTAAACATATTTTTCATTGTTTAAAATTTAAAAATATTTTAAGCTACTTCTTTAGAATAGGAGATGTAATTTTATTTTTTCAAATAATTTATTGGTTTAAATTACTATTTTGAAATTTAGTTTAAGTTTCTGATAAAGTTGAAACTATACTTTACCATAATGCTACTTCTTAAGTTATTAGATCTAATCCTTTTTATAGAAGTTGAAGCGCTTCATTTTTTTTATTATTAATGTTACTCTTGATATAAGATAAGCCTATTCTAAATAAACTGTTGTAAATTAATCATTTTTGGTGTTAAATGTTTTATACTTATTTATACTATTTTAAATATTATTAGAATATAGAGATTTATTAACTTGACGATTTAAAATATCTATTTAATGAAAAGGATTACTTATGATTTATTTATTATCAACATCTTAAATAACAGAAATCCGAAATTCATCAAATGATGGTTTATTATCTTATAAAGTTTTGTCTTCCAATTCAAGTAAAAAGAGAGCCCATCTTTCTTCAATGTTAGAAAAAGAATAAAATTTTTCTTATTAAGTTAATTCATTTGAAGAATTAATTTTTGATCTTAATTAATCTAAGAGATTACAATATTATTAAAAGTATTCTTCTTTTTAATTTATTTCATTTAATTTGAATTCTTAAAGTTTCTAATATTCAAATTAATCTAAAGTTTCTAATATTCAAATTAATCTCTTTAATGAATAACCTAAAGATTTTAGATGTTATTCATTTAATATGATTTAACCAGTACCTAAATTACCTTATCTAGCAGTTCTTCCAAAAGCTTATTCTTCAATTCTTTAATTAGAAGGCATAAATGTTAATATCACCTGTAATCCTCCATAATTTTCAATATCATTAGAATTTATATTAGTACCTCTACCTGCAAGATTTGTTGCAACAAATATATAACCTGATTATATTTTTTCAATTTCTTTCTCTTAATTATTATTATTCCTATCATACAATTTGATTTTAGCATGCTTAGAAATCAACTGATTATAAATGATTCTTGCAGTTTAAATTGTTTCACATATTATTAGAACTCCTCTTTTATTTAAACATTCATTAATAGATGAATTTATTATCTATTATAACCATTTCTTTTAATTTACAATCAATAAAGGTAATTCATGAAATAATTATTAATTATTTTATGGTATCAACATCAAATCTACATTATAAACCTCTTTTAACATATCTTATGCATTTTTTGAACCTAATGTACCAGTCAAACCAATTAATCTACCATTATATTTCTTAAAAT